CTCTTAACTGTTAAATGAAAACCAAAGCTTGGAAGGACATTTATAAACCTTTCTCATCAAATTACCCTTTTAAGTGCTTGTTACATAACATACCCACCTCAGATTTATCTCTTGCATACTTCCCCCACTAGAAAGAATGCACTATTTTCCTGAGTTCAATATGTTTTTCCACTGCATTGATGCAACCCGTGAACCATCCCAAAATGCACTCTCTATACACTACTTCTAATAATAGAAGACAGACGTCACCCTAACGAGAATTAAGTAAGTGAAAAATAAGCAGCCATGCTTGCTTATAGTAGAGCTTTTGCCCAGATCCCATGTATCAAGGCTGATGTCCCCAAACACACAAAGCATACTCTGCATATGTACAAACCCACTACTGAACCTGACTGCCCAAAGTGTATTTGAGGTTAGGTAAGATATTTCCAGATTGAACTGTGTACATTCCATGTAGACTTGAGCTATTCCTATTCAACAGAAATTTATACATTTGGTGTATTAACAACATATATTACAGAAATGCAGCCTTTTAAACTGTTGAACAGCTAACAATGATAATTACCCACAAAATTGTAAATGGAGATTAGTCAATGAAAATGCATACAAAAGGACTGAATGTGTTAAAACATCTGAATGTATACCGAAATTATACCTGCAACCAGGGGTCATTTTGTAGAAAAAGAGCTAGGGGGACTCATTAGCATAACTCATTAGCATATGCCACACCCCCTGACATCACCGGAAGTGTGTCCTCCCCACAGCCGGCGGCGACCTCCAGCGGGCACCAGCAGGGAGCTCCAGGCCCCGCCCTCCCGCACCTCACCCAGGGGGATGGCGTCCCCCCGCGTCCCCCCCCCAAATGACCCCTGCCTGCAACAAATGCTCCCTCTAAGCTGTGGAGTCTTGTGCGCAAAAATTCTATTTTGTGACTACTGGCATTAAAGTTGTGAGAGAACAATTTGGCTACTGCATAAATTAGCCATCCCTCCTGAGCGAAGACAAAAATGTTTGAGCCAGAGGCCAAAAAACTGTGAGTTAGCTCACACTAACTCAGCTTAGAGGGAACAATGCCTGCAACAGACATCAGATGCTTGCATGAGTATACTCACTGCCATCATTATCATCATGGCCTTTTCATTACAATTAGGTCTTTATGAACTCTACATTATCAACTGCTTCTCTAAGGAAAGCTGGTCAGACATTTCCAGTGAAACACAGACTATCTATTTCCATGGGGAGTATCTACATGCTTGAGTTTCCTGAACATCCATCCCACGCTAGGGTCAGACATCAGGAAGAAATTCTGCAGCTGTATACCCAGCATAAAACTTTGTTGGTCCTAAAGGTGCCACTGTTCTGCTGCTTCAGACCAATACGGCTACCCACCTATATGCAGCTGTAACCTTCATTACAGATGCTTCCATGACTCTGAAAAGCAGAGGACATTCCAAATGCTCTCAACTTCACTCTCACAATGTGGAGCTACATCAGATATCTAGTAAGGTATACATATACCTGAGTGTATAATTTCTTACACTTATGCTAGAACTGTAGTTCTGAACATAAAGTCTTTATGGATCAGAATGTGCATACTAATACAAACTCCATTAAAATACAATATACAATACACTGAAGTACACAAGACTATCAAGAGACAGGTACATTAAATTGTACTGAGCTCTTGTAAAGGTGAACAAGCCAAGTGCAGTGAATAATATAAAGGTAAAGGTTCCCTTGCTCGAAAGCCAGTCGAATCCGACTCTAGGGTTGTGGTGCTCATCTCCGTTTCAAAGCCGAAGAACCCGTGCTGTCCAAAAACATTTCTGTGGTCATGTGGCTGGCATGACTAAACACCAAGGCACACGGAACGCTGTTACCTTCCCACTGAAGTGGTACCTATTTATCTACTTCCAATTTCTTGCTTTTGAACTGCTAGGTTGGTAGGAGCTGGGGCCAGAGACGGGAGCTCACTCCATCATGCGGCACACTCGGGTCTCAAACTGCTGAACTACTGACCTTCCACAGCCTGCAGTTCAGCGTCTTAACCACTTGAGCCACTGCAGCTCCATAGTGAATAATATACTGCTATCAAAAAGCAGACAGAAAATTCACCTCTTTCTCTTTTCACTCCTAACCTCTCAGGATTATAACTCAGGTAGCATGGCTGATACAAGAATCACCTATGACACACAGAGTGAGCTATTTTAATCTACATTAAGGTCTTCCAGGGAAGAAAAGGAGAGTTTTCCCCACCCATTAATTATTTCTCAGATGGCTTTTCTTTCTTTTCATAGTCATTTTACTGGAAGGTTTTTGCCAGCTCCCAGGACTCCCTGACTTTTGGGCAAGTGGATTTACTAGGAAGCAACTGCCTTCTACCACCTACTTTTCTCAATAGCAATGGAAAACTAAATTAGTTTCCATAATCCCTAAGGTCCAATTTTTTTGGAGGGGGGGGGATAAGAGAGACAGGAAATACGGACTACCAACTTCCCTAAAATGTCTTACTGCTTTAAAAGATTCAACTTTACTAAAAAAAAAAAATCCTGGAGCACTAAGCATGGAAGTGAGTACTTAGCAGGCTGCTGGCTCTCTCTAGATCAGCTACTTCCAACAACACAGCAGAATTCCACTGCTTTAATAGAGAAACTACCTAGGTGTTCAGAAATTCATTTTTATGACATGGACTGCATTTTAAGAGCCTTTGCTATAGACAGCAAAAACACCCTTTGAAATGCTTCCATGGCCTCAAGCACATTTTTCAAAGAAAAACAGTAGGAATCAAAGTCAAAATTAAAACCACTTAAGTGCACAGGACAAATGCAGAAGTACCTGGGGCAAACATAAGTACTCCCCCTATTTATAAACAAAACAATGTTTAACTAGTCCAGCATAAATGATGTATGGAAGAGAAGACTGTTATGCCATCTGCGAAAGCATCACAGTATCACTGTCTCTTATCTTACATTTAACTCTTTTAAGTCAAGAGTACACAATTCATGGCACTGCACCCAATGGAGCATGCAACCTGACTAACTTACTGTTTGGAACAACATATTCTAGAAATGAAAGGAAATACCAGTAGTAACCACCTACAATTTGCATTTGATTGTGTGCTTCAGGCCTCAGAATGCAAAAGCAGTTATAAAGAAATGTCACTTAACTGGGGCAACCAAGATAAACAAAAGTGTCATCATGCCTGTTACAACACTAGATGAAACATTCACAAATGAGAGGCATTTAAACGAAATATTCACAGCCACCATCACAAAAGATAAACACAAGTTACTTGAACCATAAACAGATTTCTGTCAAACATACAGAACATAATGCAAGTTGCCATTAAGTCTTTAATGAGATATCTGTGATTTATAACATTGTAACATTTACAAATCTCACATGAAAAAGGGTTCAGTTTCATGCAGACAATTCTGATAAAAAGCAGGATGTGCACATAGTAAAATGTTCTATCCACTTCGGTTTGATGACACATTTGGAATTGGGTTTGAGGTTTAAAGAAGTTATCCACATTTTTATAAATATAGACATTAAGTGACTTTCAATGTCACTAGTGCAGGTACATATAACCAACATACAAAAGCTCCATTGGAAGCTACTTCAATTCTTTCAAAAAGGACCAGGATTTCATATTTTAAAAAAGCTGTCACTTTCAGTATTTGAAAACACTGAAGTGCATTTTTGGTTACCTTCTAAGCAGTTTCTGGCTATAAAATTTGATTTTATACAAGTATCAATAAGTTTTATTTACTGACATTCAGAGCTGTAGTTATCCTCTCTATAACTGAGAACACAGTAACTTTATTGGTTGTGCCAAGAGGAGGAAGTCTTGTTCCCATGTCACAGAGTTCTCTCATTTTACAGTGGAATTATTCTAATAACATTTCACAGCACCAGTAGAGTAAGAGAGGCTTTTAGCCCTTTAACCTGCTACCCAAATTGCCCAAAGAATTGTTTCTTTAAAAAACCTGTACCAGTAAGAAAAAGAGCCCCTTTCTATCATATACTGTCCCACCCAGTTAACACTGTTTGCATGACTGTAAACAAGCTTAAAATATAATTAGAGTAGACACAGGTCATCTTTAAACTTTTTTCCACAGTGTCAAAATGTTTCAAGTGTATAAAGCTTCAATACATTCCTAAAAGTACTGCAAGAATATTAAAAAGAAATCTGACAGTACTGGGCACATGGAAATTGCATGTGTTCTACTGAATTTAACTTCCTTTTCAATTAATTACGATCAAATTTTATTGCCATCAATTTCATTTAAAGGTAATATTGCACTGTAAGAATTCTGAAACCCAAGTCCCTTATGGTAGTAATTTAGTTTTGCCTTTAATTGTTCAAGGTTTTTTTGGACAGCAAACTTTGCCTCCTACAACAATCAAGTATGGTTCAAACCCAGAGCAGCACTGCTAACAAATCAATGCACGGCTATTTCTTTTTTTAAAAAAAACAAAAATAACCCTACACACCAAGACATGCTATATTATCAGGAAACTCATCCATGCTCTTACGTATTCCCAACTTTTCCATCTATTAAGCTTCTGATAACATGACCACCACAATATCGATAGTTCAAATCATCAGAGTGCAAAGTGATATTTTAAGAGGACCAGTTTAACAGCATACCATACAGCCAACCTTTCATATAAGAACCCTCCACATTCACAGCCTCCTTAAATAATGGTTTCCTAGCTTGACATTATGTTAAAGGATACTATTTTAAAGCTGCGTATCTTCATCTATTACACTCCATTTATACAAGCAGTAGTTTGAAAACACCTAATGCCTTAAATGCAGTTCCCTTGCAAAGGCACTCTGAAACATATGACTACACCACCAAGCAGAACACTCTTCATTGTTTTATTTGGCTATTTAGATATCCAGGTCACATTTACCCACCCATCTGTTTCCTGATCGTTTTGTACTATGTAACAAGGGAGTTTTGTTTTAGTTTCTTTCTTTAAAAAAAAAAAAAAAAAGTAATAGTAGTGCCGAAGAACTTGTGGGGGAACCAGTGGCCTGTTAAGTCTGCAAAGCTTCCCATCAGGCTGACTGTTTGATAGTTAGGCTGTACAGGATCCAGACAAGCAGGCCAGGCGCTGGAAACGGTTTTACTGAAATGCTGACAAGGAGCTAACCCTCACAGCCCCAGCGGCTCATCTCTTCTTCTTCTGCTGCCTCAGCATCTTCCTTCGCTTAATTATCATGTCGTGCAGCTTCTCCAGTCCTTCTTTGAGCCCGTCCCCAATGATAGCGCAGGTGGGCTGCAGGTGCCAGGGAGTGGAGGCGCTCAGCTCGCCGGTGGCCAGCATCTTCTCCATCTCCGAGAGCGACAGCGAGTGTCTCAAGTCCTGCTTGTTGGCCACGATGAGCACGGGCACTCCCTGGTTCTCCGAGATGCGCGTGATTTTGTGCAGTTCCGTTTTGGCCTCCTCCATCCTCTCCACGTCCACCGAGTCCACGACGAAGACGATGCCGTCCGTGCAGCGCGTGTAGGACTTCCAGAGGGGGCGCAGCTTCTCCTGGCCCCCGACGTCCCAGAAGTGGAAAGTGACCGTCTTGCCGTTGCCCAGCGTCACCTTGATCTTCTCCGTGTTGAAGCCTTTGGTGGGGACGGTGTTGACGAACTCGTTGAACTGCAGCCGGTAGAGGACCGTCGTCTTGCCGGCGCAGTCCAGCCCCAGGATCACGATGTGGAAGCACTGGAAGCCCGGCAGGCTGGACAGGATCGGCGTCTGCTCCGACAGCCCATTCCCCATCTCAGGGGAGGGGCCCGAGGCGAGCAGGGGGCACCAGACGCCCGCCTGCCGCCGCCGCCGCAAGCCGCCCGCTCGCTGCCTCACACTGTCTCCCAGCCACGGTCCCTTCCTGACAACGAGACAAGCGCGGGGTCAGACGCAGAGGACACGGCCGGCTGGCGGGGGAGGGGAGAACCTCGCGGAGAAGTGGCGCCGCCGCTGCCTTCCGCGCAGCCTCCTCGCCCGAAAACGCCGCAGCACGGAACGCCACAGTCTCTGGCCCGGCCGCGCCTCCTCTCTCGCCACCTAACCCCGCGCTCTCCCCCGCCCCTTTCACACAGCGGCGCCTCTCATTGGACGGCAAGAGCTGCGGTGGGCGAGGCACGGGCGGGCAAAGGCGAGCGAGAAGAGGGCGGGCCTACTCCGAGCAGTTCACGCTCCCCATTGGCCCGGCGAGCCTATATCCCGTCGCCATTGGCTATCGTTGAGCTGCTGAAAGGCGGGAGGAAGGAAACCTTGCTCCAGTCTGATCCCCTCTCCCCCACCCCGTGCAGAACCACTACTCCCTTTAACCCGCAAAGGATGTCGGTTCCTCCCGTTTGGCGAGTTCTTCCACCAGCGGCACGGACCCGGCCCATTTTCTGACAGGACCGGACCAGAACGCTGTCAGTCTCCGTCCAACGCCCCCTAGCAGAACGAAGCCCCAATTTCAAGGCACCACGTAGCCGGTAGGCGGTTTCTGTTCACTTCTTCCACGCCCTCCTACCACACCTCCCCACCTGTAGCCATGGGAACGATACCTAGAAATGTTCACGTTCAAGCATCGTTTCCTTCCCCAAAGGGGTCCCGCCCACTGGGAAAGGGGAGTCGCAGCAATCAAACGACTCTACCGCGGAAAGCTGATTTGAATTCTAACGCTTCAACGAGAATCTCTTCACATGCATGCCGAACGTCATAAGACGAGGAAAGGCTTCCTATTGGCCCACATTGCGCACTCGTTTCCTAGCAACCCAATTCAAATCAGCCCAGTTCAAATGACGCCCGCAGGGGCCCTTGAGTTCAGAGGCCGGCGTTGAGCAACCGCCCTGCTCCTCCCTCACGAGGCTGCAACGTGGCTCAGTAGCCACGCCTACCATGCGAGCGCCACAGCCTCGGCTCGTGTTCCACGCGCTCACTCCAGGCCGCGTATCAAGTCCTGTGGGTTGCCGGGCGCGTGTCAGTCCGTCCAGCTGAAACCCTGACTTTGGCCACGCCCCCTCTTGCGAAACGTCAGCTTCTCTCTGACGGTATTTCATTTGCCTTATGCGTCCGTCGTTTTCCCTCACGCTGTCATCCAAAATAGTCCACCCATCCCTCGTTGGAACAATTGTCCACTTTCCCTCTCGGAACAGCTGGAGACAGAAAAACCGGGGGAGCATGATGGGAAGTTTCGAGACGGTCGCATCCAAAGAGGCAATTTTGAGCAGCCGAAAGTTTCACATCCTTGCCAAGGCTTCCCCTGTTGCGTTTCCTCCTAGTATTTTTTTAAAAAAAATATTTAGTAAATGTATCTCCTGCTTTTCTTTTATAAACAATATTCCAAGTGGCTTATTTCAAGAACAAGACAAAGTGCAACAGGATATTTGAAACCAGCAGGAAGATTTTTTTAAAAGAGCCCTGATAAAGTCCTTGCTCACATACAGGTTGCAACCCCTGGCACTGATGCTTGGTTGCTGGTTTAATTGCTGCTGCCCAATGAAGGACTTCCAAACAGAAGAGGGAAAGATCTCTCTCCATCCACTTAACTTTTTTTTTTGTATTTGTGTGTGTGTGTGCACGCCTGTGTGTGTGTGCTGTGCCATGCCTGGAAGTCATGGTGACCTCTGGCAACTCCTACTGGGGCATGGAGGGCATTCAGAGAAGTGGTATGATAGCCTGCCTCTGCCTTGACAGGGTCTGCCCTACTTAGCTGCTGAGATCTGAGGGGATTGGGCTTGCCTAATCTATCCAGGTCAGGGCCATCCACTTTTACTTTGAGGGATGTACTAAAGGGATGAAAGCATTGCTCACTGGAAACAATGGGGGAGGGTCTTGAAGGCCCATTAGAGATAATGAGAGCCAGGGATGCCAGTTGATTTGAATAGGTTCTATCTACAGCACAAAACAGTTGCAATGAAAATGCAGGGTGGATTTACAGTTAATGTCTCTGGGCCCAGATAAACTGCTCAGGAACTGGAATAACAGGTCCCAGAGTGGAAGGACACAGAAATAATAGGATTAGTGCTTTAGGACAGGAATGAGCCCCCCCCCCCAAGTGGAATGATGGCCCCTGGGAGTTGCAGAAGTATCCTGGGATTAGAATAAAAGCCCCCAGAGTGAAATGGGGGCCCTTGGGAGTAGCAGAAGTTTATTGGAACTGGAATGACAGCCCCTAGAGCTGTCATTCCAGTGCCAGAACAGTTCTGCTACTCCCAGGGGCTGTCATTCCAGCTCCAGAACACTTCTGCTACTCCCATGGGCTGTCATTCTACTCTGCAACCTGTCATTCCAGTCCAAGTACATTTCTGCTATTTCCCAAGAAGGGCCATTCCAATCAGGGGGCCTTCATTCTAGTCTCAGAATACTTCTGCTAATCCCAGGGGCCTTCATTCCATGCGGGGGTGTAATTCCAGTCCCAGTGGGACTGTCATTCCACTCTGCGACCTGTCATTCCAATCCCAGAGCATTTCTACTACTCCCTGAGGCTGTCATTCTAGTGCCAGAACACTTCTGCTACTACCAGGATCTGTCATTACACTATGGGGGCTTTCATTCCAGTCCCAGGACACTTCTACTACTCCCAGGGGTTGTTATTCCATTTTGGGGGTTTCCATTCCAGTCCCAGAGTACTTCTACTACTCCCAGTGGCTGTTATTCCAGTCTGAGGGCTGTCATTCCAGTGCCAGAATACATCTGCTACTCCCAGGGACTATTTCACTCTGCAAGTGTCATTCCAGTGCCAGAACACGTATGCTACTTCCAGAGGCTGTCATTCCACTTGGAGGGGGGCATCATTCCAGTACCAGAACAGCTATGTCATAAACCATTAAACCATGGTCTGTTTTCTAAAATACACATTTCCCTCCTGGCGTCAGCCGGGAGGGCGGGGTAGAAATCTGACAAATAAATAAATATTAATATGCTTTCACTTGGTTTTGTTGTTGTAGGATTTGCTGTAGCACACTGTCATTGCTTTCAGTATTTTAAAAATACTTATTTTTCTTTCATTTAACTGGTCATCCAAGAACATGTGATTGCAAGAATCCTTTTCTTTTCTTTTTGGCCCCCCATAGGGGAATTTTTTATTTGCATTTTCTAAAAAACTACAACAGAAATGGGGGGGGGGAATCTACAAACTATAGGAGGAAGTATAAAGAACCTAACTAAAAGCCCAAGTGTTGGAGGTTATGCAATGCTCATAAAGACGCTAATTACTCTTAAACAGTTACTTTAAAACATGAGGAGTGTTCAACAATAATCGCAGCTAGATCAAAATCAGCTTGTCTGACTAAACAAAGAGTAATTCCATCACTGCAAGATGTTTACAGACTTCAAAGAACAATAGCATCACTTTTTACGCTTGTAACCCCCCCCCCAAAAAATATTTATATTTTAGAACCCGGTCTCCTTCAGTGGGTAAAAAACAGTCACATTTATTTCTCCTTCTCTGTTGTCAATCTTCTTTTCTTCTCTCCCCTGTTGCTCACATCACTTTTTTTTTTTTTAGGAACTTGCCATTCTGCTAGTTAGTCCACTATTTTCCACTGGTTACTTGCTTACCTGGGATCATAAGAGTCCTTCCTTCTCTTGCTTTAAACACACGCTTATCAGAGAGATTAACCGCATCCTTTGCAGGCTGATTGTATGCTCCAGAAAAGTCCAAGTCCAACCCTTCGCTCAAAAAACCCTGCTTTTCAATCAGCCTGCCCACTCAACAGTCTTAAAACAAACTTTAGAATCTCCTTATACAATCCAAAGGACCCTAAGAACCCTTTTCTAAAGTCACTCAAGTAACTTCTTACTTTTGTGGGACTTTGGACTTGCGTATCACTTCACTACACAATATAGACAGTCCTGAGTATTAGGTGTGTTTCCAATTTATGTTGGAAGAGACAAAACAAACAAACCAGGGCACTCTTGCCCCGGGGGAGTTCAGTGTGTATGACACAAACTTTGTTTGGGAGCTGGTGTGTTGCTTTCTTTTTTAGATGTTTATTGTTTAATTGATTTTGATACAAGTATATGAATAACAATGTTCATGTCAGCCTCTGTACTGAGCTCAACAATCTGCAGGTCTTGCTAAAATGCTTTTAGCTATACTTTAAAACTGGGCTTGCAGCATTTTTATCTCTCCCAGTGAGTGCAGCTCCTCCCTGTTTTTGTTCAGTTTTTAAACAGCAAACGGACTGCAGAACCTGGGTATGAAGATCGTGTAAGTGGATCAGCAGTCTGGCCATTCTAGGCTTGGCGACTCTACCACAAGTGGATCACCAAGTGATGTAACAACAAGAAAAACATGATGCTGTCGTGACATCTGGCACAGGGGATGGGGCAATTGGATCTCAGCTACGAGCTGAGAGGAGTACCTGAACTCTGGTAGGAAGCGTCCAGGCCAGCCCCTGTAGAGGGTGCTCGCCAGCAACTGTAGCAGCAGATGACCAGAAAAGGTTTACAAGGACCTAAGGAGCAGCCTTCAAGGGCAGAAGGGAGTGCCTGGTGGGCAGTAACATTGAGAAACACAAAACTTTGAGGACTCCTTAGGGAGTTGTTAGGAGCTGCGGTGGCTCAAGTGGTTAAGACGCTGAACTGCAGGCTGTGGAAGGTCAGTAGTTCAGCAGTTCGAGACCCGGGTGCCGCAAGATGGAGTGAGCTCCCGTCTCTAGTTCCAGCTCCTGCCAACCTAGCAGTTCGAAAGCAAAAAATTGCAAGTAGATAAATAGGTACCACTTCGGTGGGAAGGTAACAGCGTTCCGTGCGCCTTGGTGTTTAGTCATGCCGGCCACATGACCACGGAAACTTCTTCGGACAGCGCTGGCTCTTTGGCTTTGAAACGGAGATGAGCACCACAACCCTAGAGTCGGATTCGACTGGCTTTCGAGCAAGGGAACCTTTACCTTTACTAGGGAGCTAATGTCAATCCTGTGGATATAAGTCTCAAGTCCCTGACCCCAGAGAGGACTCTTGGGTACCCAGCAGCAGCAACAGGTTACATGCCAAGGACTGAGAATGAGTATTCTCAGGTTGCCAGAGGGGAAGACACTGTCAGAGGTTTTGCATCTATTTTCAACTGAATTAAAAAAACTAACCAAATATTTTGAATTGAAAAACTACTAAAAGCT